GTGGGTGAAACAATGCCAAATTGGGTGTGTGGGGCGCATGCGGGCGGTCCCACTGGGGGCTTCGGTGGAGCTTCCTTGTGGGGCCACTAAGCGTTGTACTGGGTGGGTGAAAGTGCCAAATAGGGTGTGCGGGACGCATGCGGGCGGTCCCACTGCTTCGGTGGGGCTCCCTATGGGTCCACGGAGCTTTGTTCTGGGTGGGTGACAATGCCAGAATGGATTTTCGGGACGCATGGGGACGGTGGTACTGGGGCCTTCGGTGGAGCTCCCTATGGGGCCACGAAACGCTGCACCGGGTGAGTGCAAATGCCAAATTCCCCACATGCTTAGTGTGGTTCTTGTTTTCGTCCAACCCGCGCCGCACCCGCGTCTAACACCTCCTCCTCCTCCTCCCCTCCTTTTCTTTCCTCCCTCACCCATCCTCCTCACGCACACAGTACAGCACAGCACAGCACTGCTCAGCACAGTTCAGCTCAGCTCAGCACAGCACAGCAAAGCACAGCACAGCACAGCACACCGCAGCACAGACAACGCAGGCAGATCGTGGAAGGAGTGGCACTTTCTCGACGCCACAGGGGGTGCGCAGAGGGTGGTCCCTCAGCGCGGCCTCTACCCGTGACACGCTGCGCAGATCAGCGCGGTGGCAGGATCGTGGCACTTTCTCGACGCCACAGGGGGTGCGCAGAGGGTGGTCCCTCAGCGCGGCCTCTATCCGTGACACGCTCGCAGATCGTGGCAGGAGTGGCACTTTCTCGACACCACAGGGGGTGCGCAGAGGGTGGTCCCTCAGCGCGGCCTCTATCCGTGACACGCTCGCAGATCGTGGCAGGAGTGGCACTTTCTCGACACCACAGGGGGTGCGCAGAGGGTGGTCCCTCAGCGCGGCCTCTATCCGTGACATGCTCGCAGATCGTGGCAGGAGTGGCACTTTCTCGACACCACAGGGGGTGCGCAGAGGGTGGTCCCTCAGCGCGGCCTCTATCCGTGACACGCTCGCAGATCGTGGCAGGAGTGGCACTTTCTCGACACCACAGGGGGTGCGCAGAGGGTGGTCCCTCAGCGCGGCCTCTATCCGTGACACGCTCGCAGATCGTGCAGGAGTGGCACTTTCTCGGCACCACAGGGGTGCGCAGAGGGTGGTCCCTCAGCGCGGCCGCTATGCACGACGGTCGTCCAGGGCATAGCAGGCGTGGCACTTTCTCGACATCATAGGGTGTGCGCAGGGGATGGTCCCTCACCGCGGCCGCTCTGCACGACGGTCGTCCAAGGCATAGCAGGTGCGGCATTTTCTCGACACCACAGGGGCTGCGCAGGGGGTGGTCCCTCACCGCGGCCGCTATGCACGACGGTCGTCCAGGGCATAGCAGGCGTGGCACTTTCTCGACACCATAGAGGGTGCGCAGGGGGTGGTCCCTCACCGCGGCCGCTGGCTGGCTCGAATCTGTCCCCGACGGAGGATAGAAGGCTAGGAAGAGGGAGGAGGTTCAAGCAATATGGCGTTGGATGACACATAGGGGAACATTCGCGACGAGGGCTGAGAACGCAGAATTGCGCATATATTATAAACTTAAGCAAACACACAAGATTTCAATTAACTATGTGGGGGTCCTCGGTAGCGTAATTGGGTTTTCGGTACGCGTGCCGGCGGTCCCACCGGGGGCTTCGGTGGAGCTTCCCTATGGGGCCACGAGACATTGTGCTGGGTGTGTGAAACAATGCCAAATTGGGTGTGTGAGACGCATGTTGGCTGTCCCACTGGGGGCTTCGGCGGAGCTCCGTATGGGGCCACGAAGCGCTGTACTGGGTGGGTGAAAATGCCAAGTTGGGTTTTCGGGACGCATGCGGACGGTCCCTCCCTATGGGGCCACGAAAAATTGTACTGGGTGGGGTTGAAAAATGCCATATTTGGTGTGTGGGACGTGTGGGCGGTCCCACTGGGGGCCTTCGGTGGCGCTGCCTATGGGTCCACGGAGCGTTGTACTGGGTGTGCGGGACGCATGCGGACGGTAGCATTGGGACCTTCGGTGGGGCTCCCTATGGGCCCACGAAGCGTTGTGCTGGGTGGGTGACACGCAGGAAGGAGGGAGGAGGGGGCCACGAAACGCCGCACTGGGTGTGCGGGACGCATGCGGACGGTAGCATTGGGACTTTCGGTGGGGCACCCTATGGGGCCACGAAGCCATGTACTGGGTGGGTGAAATGCAGGGAGGAGGGAGAAGGGGAGGAGGGGAAGGGAGGAGGGGAGGAGGAGGACAGGAGAGGAACGCGGGGCAGCGTCTCTTCAAATCGAGAAGCCAACACCACAGGATGGCTGGGAATTATCTTGGCGAAGGACTCAACCATACGCAGTTGTGGGTACCGCAATTGTGAATCTCTTCTTCGGAAAAGCTCCCTATGATTTCACGAAGCGCTGCACTCGGTGGGGGGAACACAGGCGGGCGGTAGCCGTCGGTGGAGCTCCCTATAGGGGCACAAACGCTGTACCGGGTGTGTGAAAACGCCAAATTGGGTGTGTGGGACGCATGCGGGCGGTCCCGCTGGGGGCTTCGGTGGAGGAGCTCCCTGTAGGGCAACGAAACGCTCTACTGGGTGGGTGAAAATGCCAATTTGGGTTTTCGGGACGCATGTGGACGGTGGCACTGGGGCCGTCGGTGGTCTTCCCTATGGGGCCACGAAGCGCTGCACTGGGTGGGTGAAACAATGCCAACTTGCGTGTGTGGGACGCATGCATGCGGTTCCACTGGGGGCTTCGGTGGAGCTCCCTATGGGTCCACGAAACGTTTTCCTGGGTGGGTGAAAATGCCAAATTGTGTGTGTGTGTGACAAATGCGGGCGGTCCCACTTTGGGCTTCGGTGGAGCTTCCTCTGGGGCCACGAAGCGCTGTACTGGGTGGGTGAAAATGCCAGAATCGGTTTTCGGGACGCATGCGGACGGTGGCAGTGGGGCCTTCGGTGGAGCTCCCCATGGGGCCACGAAACGCTCCATTGGGCGAGTGAAATGTCAAATTGTGTGTGAGTGTGTGTGTGTGTGCGCGTGTGACAAATGCGGGCGGTTCCAATGGGGGTTTCGGTGGAGCTTCCTATGGGGCCACGAGACATTGTACTGGGTGGGTGTAAATACCAAATTGGGTTTTCGGTACGCGTGCCAGCGGTTCCACTGGGGGCTGGAGCTCCCTATGGGGCCGCGAAGCGCTGTACTGGGTGGGTGAACATGCTCTATTGGGTTTTCGGGACGCATGCGGACGGTGGCACTGGGGCTTTCGGCGGGGTTCCGTATGGGGCCACGAAGCGCTGCCTTGGGTGGGTGTAAATGCCAAAGTGGGTGTGTGGGACGCATGCGGGCGGTCCCACTGGGGGCGTCGGTAGCTTCCTATGGGCCACGAAGCGCGGTACTGGGTGGGTGTAAATTCCAAATTGGGTTTTCGGGACGCATGCGGACGGTCCTACTGGGGCCGTCGGTGGGGCTCCCTATGGGGCCACGATGCGCTGTAGTGCGTGTGCGGGACGCATGCGGACGGTAGCACTGGGACCTTCGGTGGGGCTCCCCATGGGGCCACGAAGCGCTGTAGTGGGTGTGCGGGACGCATGCGGACGGTAGCACAAGGACCTTTGGTGGGGCTCCCTATGGGGCCGCGAAGCTGTACTGGGTGGGTGAAACGCAGGGAGGAGGGAGGAGGGGGCCACGAAACGCTGTATTGGGTGTGCGGGACGCACGAGGACGGTAGCACTGGGATTTTCGGCGGGGCTCCCTAGAGGGCCACGAAGCGCTGTATTGGGTGGGTGGAACGCAGGGAGGAGGGGGCCACGAAACGCTGTACTGGCTGTGCGGGACGCATGCGGGCGGTAGCACCGGGACCTTCGGTGGGGCACCATATGGGGCCACGAAGCGCTGAGGGAGGGAGGAGAGGGAGGGAGGAGGGGAGGAGGAGGACAGGAGAGGAATGCGGGGCACCGTCTTTTCAAAACGAGGGCCCAGCACCGCAGGATGGTTGGGGAAACGAATTCTTCACGCTTCGCGTATCCCCACCAGCCCATCTCAAAACAGCAACTCTAGCGAAGCATGCCGACAGTCGTGTTTTTCAGGCGTGTTTCCGCCTGCCCCCGCATATCGCCCCTGTTCCTCCTTCCTCCCGCCTCCTTGTACATCCTCCTTGTGGTGGGAGCGGGAGAAGGACGAGGCGGAGGAGGAGGGAGAGAAAGCGCTCCTCGTGGTTTGAGTCGTTCGGGCTTCTCGTCCTGGTGTGAGTCGTTCGGGCCCTTCTTCCTGGTGTGAGTCGTTCGGGCTCTTCGTGGTGTGAGTCGTTCGGGCTCTTCGTCCTGGTGTGAGTCGTTCGGGCTTCTCGTGGTGTGAGTTGTTCGGGCCCCTCGTCCTGGTGTGAGTCGTTCGGGCCCCTCCTCCTGCCCGTCCAGAAACGACGCCCAGGCGAGTAGAGGGTCGTCCTGATGGGCTTTTCGGCGTCTTGGGTGCCTCGGGGGGGCCTCTTTGGGCCGTTTGGGATCCTCTTGGGGGCCTCCTGGGGGCCTCTTGGGGCCATCTTGGGGCCTCTTGGTGCCTCCTGGGCGCTTCTTGGGGCCATCTTGGAGGAAATCGATCAAAGAAGAGGGGAGCTTTAATTAGCGCTGCCCCCTCAGAAGGCCAAAATGGGGCCAAAACCTTAGTAAAATCAATGATTTTGGCTTGAAAGAAGAGGGGAGCTTTAATTAGCGCTGCCCCCTCAGAAGGCCAAAATGGGGCCAAAACCGTAGTAAAATCAATGATTTTGGCTTCAAAGATGAGGCGAACACTTTCTGCCTCCCCCCGTCGGGGCCAGAATCCTCGTGAGGGGTGTCGTTTTTTTAGCCCTCCCAGGAGTCGAAGAAGACCCCCCCGGCCACCCGCGGAGGGACCTCTCCAGGCCCAGGGGGAGGGGGTAGGGGGAGGGGTAAACCCCTCCCCGAAGGGGAAGAAGGGGGGGTGAGAACAGAGCGGGCTCTCTAAACCACTCACGCCCAAATGGCTGGTGTTATTCGTCTACCTTCCGCGTGTCGGGGGACATGCCCGACCTAACCCTGGGGCCCTCTGGGCCTCGTGATGGGGTGCTCTGGAGTCCGCGGGGGCCTCCTCCTCCTCCTCCTCCTCCTCCTCCTCCACCTCCTCCTCCTCCTCCTCCGCCTCCTCCTCCCCCTCCTCCTCCTCCTCCTCCTCCTCCTCCTCCTCCTTGTCCTCCTCCTCCTCTCAGGAATCATTTGGGGGCACCTCCATCTTGGGCTGGGGGCCCTTCCATCGACACCGAACTTCTCGGCGTGGCGCGGCCTGTTCATGCACGTGCAGAGCCGGGACTTCGGGGACTGCCTCGAGATCTCCTTCCGGGGGGCCGTGTGGCTGGTGATGTTCGGGGCCCCGATCATCTGGGGCCTGAACAAGGATCCCGCGTCGCTCTTCTACGAGGGCAGCTTCGGGGGGAAGATGTTCGAAAAGGGGGCGATCGTCAGCTTCGTTTACACGCTTGCCCCGACCCTTGGTCAGACGATCAGCAATGCTGTGCATGGCATCGCTGGAACCTTGACGGCTGCGGCGTTCAGTCTTCTCATGTATCTGGTGTATCAGGACGGATGCAGCGGCGCAGGGATGTTTGAGCTTTGCTATTTCTTTGGTGGGCTGGTAGGGGCAGCCTCCATAGTCTGTTGCCAGCTGCTCAACCTGGGAATGAGCTTCCAGATTTTCTACATTGCCAATTTTGTGTGGTTCTGGATGGCTTTCCTGAACCCCGACTCCCCGCTGCGGACTGCCCCAGACTCCCCTAAGGAGTGGTTTATGGGTCTCGAATTTGTCGACTGGGGCGGGGGTGTCTACGATGGTGTAATTACTATGGTCAGTGGGGCTTGCCTGGCCGTCATTGTCACCCTTCTGCCCTACCCCATGAGCTCCATGGAGCTTGCACGCGATGGTGCCTTCGCCGCAGTCAGTATGCTAGAACAGACGTGGGAAAAGTCTGTAAATTTCTACCTCGCGAACGACAAGGATGAGAGGCGCCAGGCGAGGATGGTCTGCTCCATGAATGCGATCAAGGATCACGTCAGCATCCTCAAGCAGGACCTGGACGGCTCCTGGTGGGAAGTTTGCTTCCTCGGCTTCTTCGCGCGCTCGTGGAGGTCACATCACCGCTTCCTGGTCGAGCTCGAGACAACCACCAGCCGCTGCATCGAGCGCCTCACGCACGTGGTCGATGCGTGCACGCGAGAGCAGTTCGAGGGCATCCACGGTGAGATGGTGAGGCCCGAGATGTGTGGGGATGCCATGCGGGCGCTGGCCAAATCGACCAGCGACCTCCTCAGGCTCGCGCTGGAGCACGCGGACGGGGGCCACATCCGCGCAGGAGACAGGGAGGAGCTGCTACGCGAGGCTGACGGGGTGAGGACGGCAGAGGTTCACTTGACCAGGCGGATGTGGCAATCAATTGTCGACATCAACGAGAAGGAGGTGAGGAAGGCCGCCACGGAAGAGGTGGAGGGAGGGAGGGGGCGGAGGAGGTGGTCGAGGGAGGAGGTAGTTGAAACCGTGGCCCACCAGCTAACCGACGAGCAGGTCTTCATATTCAGCTTGTGCGACTTTGCCAGTAGCGTGCAGGCCTACTCCAGGTGGCTCGCCGAGCAGACCGACGCTCCACCCCGGGAGGCCGTCGACTTGGCTGCTGGTCTCCGGAACGTCTTCAAGAGTGACGCCATCATGGCACCTGCCAACCTCAACTGCGCGCTCCGTGGGTGCCTTGCGATCTTCATCGGCTTCGCCATCGGGTACGTCGGCTACTCCGCCATGATTCCGGCAAAGGATGCCACGATCCCGGGCACGATCGCCGTGCTCCTCTCGCGGTCGCTCACGTCTCCAATCGGCAAGAGCCTGGCTCGGCTGCAGGGTGTAGTGCTTGGAAAGTTCTCTGGCCAGCTGGCGTACGCACTGCTGGGCTGGTGCCACGCCTGGGCCCAGATATCGCTCTCAGCCGTCGTGTTCTCGTACGTTTGGCTCACGCTGTTCATCTACCACTACACCTCTCCTTTCAGCTACCTCGGATGCCTGGCCGCTGCCCTTGGCACGCAAGCCTTCCTGAGAGGGTGCAGCAACGTGGGTGTGGTGCGTCCGGACGCGGGCATAATCGTCAACATTCTGATCGCCATCGGGCTCATGACGGTCGTCGACCTCGTTCTCAAGCTGGGCCGCCCCTCAGAACTGGCCTTCGGGGCCTACCTCGAAGCCTGGGCCGCCTGGGGCCATGTGCTGGAGGAGTAGGGGAACAAAAAGTGGCATGAACAGAACAACTCGGAGGTCCGCGCGGATTTCTCGGATCGGCGCTGGACCCCCCTCCCTGGCGCGCGGAGCGCGCCAGGGGCGGCGCGCCAGGGGGGTCCAGCGCGGATCCGAGAAACCCGCGCGGACCTCCGAGTTTTTATGTTTACGTCATTCTTCGTTCCCCTAAGGAGCTGCTCATCGGCGAGGACACTCGCGTGGACCCCGTGCAGATCACCGCCCTTCTCGGCAAGGCGGAGGCGTTCGCGGGCGAGGCCGCGGCCGAGCCGAGGCTCTGGAGGGGCCCCTTCCCGAGCGCCCTCTTCTCGGAGATGGTTGCGCTCGCGAGGATCGGGGGCGGCAAAGAGGGGGGTGATGACTAGGGGGGTGTGGATATCATGGCGTGGGCCATGACATTTCCCCAGATTTCATGGCGCCTCTTCTTATCTCATTACGTCCCTGCCCCCCCCGCTGGGCTGCGCACATGCCGCCGGTCATGATTTGCACCCCCCCCTCTTGGACATCCCCCTCTTGGCCGCTCCCGAGAGGACGATGAGCAAGGAGGTGATTTGCATCCACACCGTCGTCTGCGAGAAGAAGCAAAACCACGACGGCAGTTTCGCAACGAAGGAGTGGTTCAAGCGCCTGCTCGCAGACAGGGACTCCGGATGGTCAGCACAAATTGCGGAAATCCTCAAGGAGGCAGATGCCACCCGCGACATGGTCGAGAAGGTTGAGGAGCTGAATGGCAAGAAGGTGCCAACATCGATCCCAAAACTAAGACGGCTTCACAACATCGAGTGGGAGTTGGGCAGCCTCAGGCTATACCAATCTGGCTTGGCCACTACCAGGGTCAAGGAGATGGCTTCAGAGACGTCGAGCCTGGTTGAAGATGAGTTTGCGCAGACGAATTTCATCTACGGGTGTTTGCAAAACATCAAGGCTGTCAACCGCAGTATGCAGCTACAGATGGTCAAGAACGGGGTGTGATGTGGAGATGTTCAATAACGGGATGGAGGAAGACCTCAACTTGCATCTGGTAATTTAGCGGAGGTGAGCGGGTATAATTGAAACATGCACTGTAAAAGTGATCCTGGTGAAGGTTCGTTTGGGATATTTGCTTCACTTCTTGAGGATCGATTGGCGGAGTGCGGGGGAGGAGGCGGGGGGCAGTTCGTGTTTCGGGGGTGGGTAGACGCAGTACCGTTGTCTAGGCCAATGTCCAGGGCAGTCCTGGTCCACGAAGCTGGCGCCACGAACAAGGAGCTGCGTGTTGAGCACGATGGAGCACTCGCGTGCAGGTGTACAGAAGCCCCGCCGCCTTCTGAGAAGGCCTGCCCCCTCTCCCACTTCCCCCAGGCGCGCCGCCGATACAGGTCCTCGGTCCACTCTTTCTTGGCAGGCCCCACTTCGGGGAACAATGAATAACACAAAACATAAACTCCCGGAGGCCTGCGCGGACTTCTCGAATCGGCGGTGGACCCCCCTCCATGGCGCGCGGAGCGCGCCCAGGGGGCCCTGGTGCCGATCCGACAGATCCGCGCGGACCTCCGAGAGTCAGTGTTTCTGCCCTGGCTTGTTCCCCTGCCGCTTGCACTTCGCTTTCAGCACCGCCTGATCCCGGGGCTTTGCCCCCTCTTGGCCTTGACGTGAGGCCCCGACTTATTTTTTCCTTCCTCTGCTAATTAAAGCTGTGCGCGTCCCGCTTAGCTTTCAACGTAAGAGGTTCGCTCTCGCCCTGCAGATCAAACATTGTTCCCCTGCCGCTGGCACATTCGTAGCCGCTGCAAGCCACGGCGCGTGCCCGCAGACGTGGCCCGCGTCGTGGCGCAGGGAGGCACGCGGGGCCGCCGTGCCCGCCGCGGGGCGGCTGCCCTCAGAGACTGTACGCTGCGCCTCTCCTCCTCCTCCTCCTCCTCCTCCTCCTCCTCCTCCTCCTCCTCCTCCTCCTCCTGGGGTGCTCCCAGAGCTCGACGGTCCCGCCTTTGCCAGTGGAGCTGCCGTTCACCTTGTCCATCCATCTTGGCAATCCCCAGGTCATCCCCAGGGAGCGAAGGTCAGCGCGCTTCGCGCATCGCGGCTCGGCGGGTTGAGCAGGCGCCCCTCCTCAGGACGGCGGCGCGAGGGCGCCGAGTCATGCGCGCGTCGCGCATCGCGGGGCGCCCTGCGCGAAGTTAGGCGACCTAGAATCCAGATCGTTGGTGCTTCCGTGGGGTTGCCCAGACACCGATTCGGAGTTGGCCGGACACCAACCTCGCGTTCTCCGGTCCGCCCGACCCGACCCGACCGGCCAGTCCGCCCGACCCGACCCTCCCGATGGGGGCTGCCCGCCCGACCCGCCCCGCCCGCCCGCGGCCCGACCCGCCCGCGAGGGTCCGCCCGACCCGGCCCGCCAGCGAAGGTCCGCTCGCCCGACAGGACCCGTCCGCTGGGCCCCAGCGGACGGGTCCAGGGGCTCCAGGGGCTCTCGCGTGCCAGCCTGATTACGCATCATACTTGGACGTCGCACCCGCCCAGCCTGACCCGCCCGCTAGGCTCCGCCCGGCCCAACCCGCCCGCTAGGGTCCGCCCGCCCGACTGGACCTGCCCGCTGGGGCTCGCGTGCCAGCCTGATTACGCATCGTAGAAATCATGTCCCGCCCGACCCGACCCGCCCGTGAGGGTCCGCCCGTCCGACCCGACCCGCCCGCTAGGGCTCTCGCGTGCCAGCTGCATTATGCATCATGCTTTGAAAAGCCCGCCCCACCCAACCCGCCCTTACGGGTCCGCCCGACCCGACCCGCCCGTTAGGGTCCGCCCGCCCGACCCGACCCACCCTCTAGGGCTCTCGCGTGCCAGCTCCATTCTGCATCATATTTTATGCCCGCCCGACCCGACCCGCCCTTTCTGATCCGCCCGACCCGACCCGCCCGTTAGGTTCCGCCCGCCCGACCCGACCCACCCGCTGCCGTTCTCGCGTACCGGCTTGATTATGCATCATATTTGAAGGTCCCGCCCGCCCGACCCGTCCCGCCCGTTAAAATTCGCCCGACCCGACCCGCCCGCTAGGGTCCGCCAGACCCGACCCGCCCGCTAGGGTCCGCCTGCCCGACTGGACCCGCCCGCTGGGGCTCTCGCGTGCCAAGTCGATTACGCATTATACTTGATTGTCCCGCCCGCCCGGCCCGACCCGCCCGTCAACATATATTCCACACATAATTCATTCACATCACATTCAGCTCAAGCAAAACACTTTCACGCATGCACAGCGCACATACATAATCCATCTAACACACATAACATGCATGACGCATAATCCACTCACAACTCGCACATGTCACGCACAGCGCACGACACCTGCACACAACACACAACACACACATACCACACACCTCGCGGCACACACGCACAAACAACCCGCACACGCCTTTGCATGAGCCTGGGCACGCGCGTGCCATATGTATGTGTGTGTTCATATACAGCTATGCTCACTTCGGAAGGAACCTTTTCGCTCTGCTCGCCTGGCGCATGTCAAAGAGAGAAGGTTCCAAGAGATCCCCCAGCGAGGGATCTAACCAGCCCTCTGGAGTGGGTCCCTGGGCCGCTGGAGAAGAGTCAGTGATGTGCATGCACACATATGCACACATAGATATCGAAAGGGGCACCGTCTGGGGCAGCGGCGATCCCGGCACCCCTCGGCGCGGACCGCAGGCCCCGTGGGCCGTGCTGCCCCGCGCGGCCCACCCCCCCCCGGGGGGCCGCCCGGAACTGCGGAGTCCCAGACGAAGTCCTCCTCCCCCCCCTTCCCCTCCTCCTCCTCTCCTCCTCCTCCTCCTCCTCCTCCTCCTCCTCCTCCTCCTCCTCCTCCTCCTCCTCCTCCTCCTCCCCTCCTCCCCCTCCTCTCCTCCTCCTCCTCCTCCTCCTCTCCTCCTCCTTCTCTCCTCCTCCTCCTCCTCGTCCTCCCCCCCCCCCTTTCACTGCGGGGCCCCCAGAAGTCCCAGTCCTTTCCGCAGGGCTTGGTTTCTCATCCGGACTCGCTTTTCGGGCGGCCCCAGGACCCAGCGAGAGCCCCCCGCAAGCCGAAAGCGGCCGAATCATTTGTTCGTCGTGGTTTTGACTACGTGAGCCTCCTCGGGCCCCTCCCTCCCTCCAGCCATCCCCTCCCATCAGTCCCTCTCCCGCCCCCCTCCTCCTCCCCTCCCTCCCCCCATTCCCTCCCATCCCGCCCTCTCCCGCCCCCCTTCCTTCGAAGAAGAAAGAAAAACGTGTTAACCAGCGTGGACCCCAAACAGTAGGTTCTTGCAGTCGATGCGATGCAACATATGTGGTGCAATGTATGCGATGCAACCCATGTGGTGTAATCTACGCGGTGCAACCTTTGTAATGCTATCTATGCGGTGCAATCTATGTGGTGCAATTCATTTGCCGAATTTAAAGTTGTCAACTCCACTGCTCGCGCAATCATCCCACCCACCCACCCGCAACTTGGTTTGCAAAACCCATGCGGCGGCGATTGCGATGAGTGCTGGGTGTTGGCTGATGCATCTTTGCGGCCGCGCTAGCCCGCGCATGCTCGCACGCGCAGCGGCCAGCTAGTTTGGCACGACCGACGCGAACGCGGTGGCGCTGACCGCTCGGCACATACCAGCGGGCACTTTAGTGCGAGTCGTAGACTTGGACGGGCGCGATATCATGGTAACGTCGACAACGGTGGACGCGATGATGGTAGTAGTGATGCTGGTGACGATGCTGACAGCGACGACGGGGCAGCCAGTGACGGCGCCGATGCTGATCGCGCCGACGACGATGGCGGCGTCTTCGCGTCGGTGACGAAGGTTTTGGAAAGAGTTCGACATACGCGCGCGGCCGACGCGCGGGAGTGGCTCGCATGGTTTTATTTGATACGGGTCGTGCCACGCCAGCACGCGCTCAAGGGCGTTCGGACGATTTCGGCATGCGCGCGCGAAACCCGTGTGGTATCATTTTATGCAAATGTTGAAAACTCGTGGTTTCTTCAGAATTTACCAGAACGCGCGCACGCTTTTGTTGACAATCAGTGTTGCGAAACTTCGTAACACATTATCCGTAAGGGCTTCGCCCCCTGCCGCCGGCCCCCTCTCTCGGAGAATGGGCCATGGAAGAGCTAAGTCATGAGGCTTTGGCGCTGTCGTGCAGCAGTATCGGAACTTCATGCGAGGCCGATTCGCAATCGGCAAAACCAACTGATCACAAGAGGGGTTACCACACAGGGCGATTGGTAAGACGTGTATGGTTTACGAGCTTGGTTACCACACCTTGGGATTAAAGGGCCGAGGGAGTACTCGCAGTTTGGGTTACCACGCCTTGCGATGGATGTGCGTGAGGGGTGGCACCGAATTTCAGAAATGTGGCAAATCCCTGTGTTTTTGGACCCTGACCCCGCGGATCTGCGTGAGGGGTGGCACCGAATTTCAGAAATGTGGCAAATCCCCTGTGTTTTTGGACCCTGACCCCGCGGATCTGCGTGAGGGGTGGCACCGAATTTCAGAAATGTGGCAAATCCCTGTGTTTTTGGACCCTGACCCCGCGGATCTGCGTGAGGGGTGGCACCGAATTTCAGAAATGTGGCAAATCCCCTGTGTTTTTGGACCCTGACCCCGCGGATCTGCGTGAGGGGTGGCACCGAATTTCAGAAATGTGGCAAATCCCATGTGTTTTTGGACCCTGACCCCGCGGATCTGCGTGAGGGGTGGCACCGAATTTCAGAAATGTGGCAAATCCCTGTGTTTTTGGACCCTGACCCCGCGGATCTGCGTGAGGGGTGGCACCGAATTTCAGAAATGTGGCAAATCCCATGTGTTTTTGGACCCTGACCCCGCGGATCTGCGTGAGGGGTGGCACCGAATTTCAGAAATGTGGCAAATCCCATGTGTTTTTGGACCCTGACCCCGCGGATCTGCGTGAGGGGTGTCGATTTCGAGCCCCCCCAGCAATTCAGACAACGCGCCCAGGGGACTCTAAAAGTCTTGTTTGGGCCTCCCCCCCCCTCGCGCGGTCAATCAACTAGTTGCAGTAACCAGCAAGAAGTCAACTAGTTACAGTAACCAGCAAGAAGCAGAACTGTAACACTGGAAACTACAAGCTACAACTGGCACAGGAAACTGCGAACCCGCGCCTACAGCCTGGTGGCCCCACAAGGGGGCCGGCGGATATATAGAAATGTGTTTTGGACACTCGATTAATTATTCCTTCCGAAACCGAAGGTTTTTGAAGGATCTCGGCATGCGTGCGCGACGACGCGCGCGTGTGCAGTCCCGTTTTTTTGCAAGGGGTTTTTGAAAGCTGAGGAATTTGATAACCGAGGGGTACGGATACCGACCTGGCTGGGATAGTACGAATTCGAAGGTCGGATGGACATTGGGTCAGATTCATTTTTTTTGTAAAAAGGTTCCCGGGGAATCGAGAAGTCGGGGGGGAAGGGTGGTGGAACTTTAATTTGTAGTGCGGAGCATAGATTTTTACCCATGAGTTGACACATCCAATGCTCTTCGCAAGCGTCCCATCCACCCGCCGGCAACTTGGTTTGCAAAACCCATGCGGTGGCGATTGCGATGCGTGCTTGGCGTTGGGTGGTGCATCTCTGCGGCCGCGCCAACCCTAGCACGCGCGCGAAGCGGCGGGCTAGTTTGGCGCCGCCGACGCGGCCGCTGTGGCGCTGACCGCTGGGCGCATCCCAGCGGGCACTTCATTGCGAGTCGGCGACTTGGACGGGTGCGGTATCATGGCAACGCCGGCTACGGTAGACGCGATGATGATAGTAACGATGCTGGTGACAATGTTCGCACCGACGAAGGCGCGGCCCGTGCGGGCGCAGATGCCGATCGCGCCGACGACGATGGCGACGTCTTCGCGTCGGTGATGTAGGTTGTGGAATGAGTTCGACATGCGCGCGCGGCCGACGCGCGAGAGCGGCTCGCATGGTTTGATTTGACACGGATCGTGCCCCCCCCCCAGCACGCGCGCAAAGGCGTGCGATATATGTCGGCATGCGGCGCCGGAAGCCCGTTTTGCAGAATTCCATGAAGATGTTGAAATCGTATGATTTTCCGGAGAGTTCGCAACAGCGCGCGCGCGCGCAAATTTTGTTTCGAAAACGGATGTTGTGAAACCGTTTATTTTTGTATGTTTTTTGACATTCGGTTTTGAAATCGCTACGAAACCGCAGGTTTTTGAAGGATTTCGGCATGCGCGCGCGACGACGCGCGCGCGTGCACTTCTCCCTACTTGTTGCAAAGGG